AGTACATTGACTTGGAAACTAGGCAAGATGGAACAAATGTCACTTTACGTCAGCAATATTATTTGGAAAATATTAGCCCAATTGCTATTAGTCTAATAGGACATCAGAAAAAGATGCAGCAGCTTCCAAAATTGAAATGAAGGAATGGAGGTCTAATTGGATAGCTGAGTTGGCTAGGCACCCTAACAAGGCCAGATGTCAATTTTGAAATACTGGAATGGAGTACAATTTTGAAAAATCCCAAGATGGAAGATATTATTCAGGCGAAGAAAACATTGAAAAAAATTTTAAAGGAGCATTGTGTTTGAAATTTCTATCATGGACAGATGCCAGCAAGATGAAAATTGTTGCTTTTAGTCATGCTTCTCATGTAAATTACTGTGACATATTCTCAAGTGCAGGAGGGTTTGAAATTTTCTTGTGGGAAGTGTTGCCCTTTAGCTGGAAAGTTAAAATGATCAGAAGGGTAGAAAAAAGCACCTCATCAGTTGAAAATCAATTCATGTGCAGTGGTCCTAAACTTTAGCATAGTAACCACGCTGACAGAGTTATCATAGGAAGAAGCAAAAGTAGTATGAACCGATCTTGTGCTGTAGCTCCAAAGTTGAAGCAAGCATTTAAAGTAACCATTGATGTGAGTGACATCAGGGTAGGGGCTGTCCTTCTTCAGGAAGATTAATCTCAAATAGAGAGACCAACTGGGTACTTGTCCAAAAAAACTACACAAACATTAGGAACTGTACTCCACAGTAGGGAAGGAAACGTTTGGATTGTTAATGGCTCTCAATCACTTTGAAGTATATGTCCAAAATGGATACAAGGAGACTACAGGTACACTGACTACAATTCTTCAGGTTTTGTGCAAAGGTTTAAGACACAGAATGCCACGTTATTCTGTTAGTGCTTGTCCCTGCAATTCACGCACTGTCCATGTTCCCAAACTAAACTAGTCCCACTTGCCTGTGTTTGGCCCATATCCCTCCAAACCTTTCCTATTCATATATCTATCCAAATGTCTTTTAAATGTTATAACTGCACCTGCATCCATCATTTCCTCTGCAAGTTCATTCGACACACAAATCACTCTGTAAAAACATTGCCCCTCATGTCCTTTTCAAAACCTTTTTCCTGTCACCTTAACAAATATACCACTGTGGCTTTGAACTCGCCCACCCTAATTGTACCATTAAAAACTCAACCACATTGCTGGGAAATCACATCTGTGATTGCAGACATCTTGTCCGGGTGTGTGTGTATGTGTGTGTGTCTTTATGTTCAACTTGTTTTTCAATTTCGTGCATGAATGCATTTGTCCTGCCGGGGAAGTGGCATGCTGACAGATCAGAATCCCAAAGTACCATCGACATAGTTAGCTGTTTAATGTTATTTAAAAGATGTCTGCCACTGAAAAATGACTGTGAATGTAAATTCAGTTGCTGTCAGGCAAAGTCCTCTATGGGACCTATGGAATGCTGCATCCAAATGTCAAAGAAATTTCAAACCGAGAGAAAATTAACGGGAAGATATTATGAGGAGGTGCTGACCAACCACCCACTCCCCACTCCCCACTTCACCCCACCCCTCACCACCACTGCCAACCCCTCCTCAGCAGAAAACCACCTCTTGCAGAAGTGTTTAAAACCAACTATAACGCTTACCTATGTGTGTAATGGCCTGATATCCTAATGTTTGGACCAGTGTACTGTGAATGTCACAACCTTCAGAACTGCCATTAAACACCACTGCAATGGAGGTAAGGAGAAATACCCTCTCTTATTCAAAGTGCTAGAAGCAAACTAGCCAGCGATTCATTGTTGAAAGGCATCAGGACAAAAGAGTTTCTTTAGCTCACGAAGCTAACATTATTAAAATTGACTGGTAAACGACCAATGTCAGTGCTACTGCATTGGCTACAATGTTCAACATGTTAAATAATCAACTGGTCATCTCTTAATTCTAACCTGTGAATCACTGACCACAACAGATACTCCAGGCCAGGATTTTGGCTCCTGATTTCCAGAATCGTATCTGGAAATATCCTGACATGGCAGAGCCACCTCAGTTGAAAGGCCCCTATTAGACTCTATTTTCACTCAAGGAAAATGGGCAGGATTGAGTTGGGCTGTCAACAGCAGAAGCAGATTTTGGAGAGATAAATGAATCCTGTTAAGCCCACTAGCCCTCATCCTCCTCATACTATTTCTTGCCCCTTCATACTTCTATGTCACTTGCATGTCAACTCAAGTTCCCACCCACATGCCTCTATAACAACTCATGCTCCCCACTCACCTCCACTGCCCCCTCATGGTGCTTCATGACTTGTCACCCCATGCTAATTCATCCACCTCCACAGTCCACTATCCATCATATGCTGATTTCAGGTGTCACATGGAGATAAAGAAAAAAAAACCTGCTAACAATGTAAAACAGCTATCACTTTTGCCCACTTGGCAGTGAAAAGAACTCCCATTCAAGAAACCCTTTCAAAGCTTTTAAACTTCTTCAAGTAATCAATCACTTATGAAAATAGACAAACTTCTAATAGACCCTACATCAAAGACATCTAATCCTTTAGTAGGCTGTTTAAATTGTCAAACTGTGATGTGAGAATCCTCTGTTGAAAACCTTCAAATGGTAGTTTGACATTCATTAGTATTTCTTGTTGAGTGCATACAAACAATTTAGCAATGTACAATAGATTGTGCTGCACTCCTGTGAGTACTTTTCCAGTGAAATTTTGCTGGAGGAAATTCTTTCCTTTCTCATTGTGTCATATGGCATGCTAACGTTGATATGCTATTATCACTGCAGATAATTTACATATTTGTTCATGAATTAATTTTTTTTCCAATTGCATTCTTTTAGTTTTACAGCTTTCGGATGGAATTCAACAGAATTGATGCATTCAAAAGCTTGCATATAAATCAGACTATCCAGACTATGCCTCATAACACAGTAATGCTTATGCAGAGTGGAAGACTATTACACATCCTCGAATCCAATCATGTATTGAGGTCCTCTCATTTAGTGTAAGATGCCTCAAGTCTCTGAGTCAAAATCCTCCCTATGACAGCACAAATTAGACATCCTCTCTGAAGTGAGGTTGGGGAAACTGGACGGCAAGTCACTATCACCTACTTAAATATTTATTCCATTTGGTGCAATGTTTTTGATAAGTAGTGCATGTTGAATATTAAACAACATGTGATCACTGATGCATTCATTTGTGAAAGTGATCTCATAATTCATACTATCCCACAATGGTTGCAAACCAAGGTTATTTTTGATTTGGAAGAAGAAAGTTAGTGATGCATTGCTGCTCAGCATCTTTAATAGATATCTATTAACAGTGTTGATCATTTGAACATGAAATATACTTTATCCAACTTACAACTGTTCAACCATATTAATATACTCGCTGTAGTTTATTTGTCACTTTCATATGACTTTTCATATTGGATTTTTGATATTTATAGGGAGGGAGTGAAATTCCACTCCTACCTCCCCACCCCCAACACCCAACCCCAACCCCACACCTGCACCCACAGAGGTAGGTAATATCAAGGACAATAGCTTTGAAGACTGCGAGTGCATGCAGAAATAAATGTTTTAATATACTAGGCATTTTCCACAGCTTTGGACCAGAGCCAAGGACAAGGCTGACAAATTAGTTTTGTACCAAGGACTGGGGCAATGTTGACTATATGATTCAAGCACGCACCCCTGAAGATGGATGCATTGTAGTCCCCTGTCAAATTGCACCTAAAACCATGTTTCCATTAAGATGGCAGGGGTTAATACCCTGGTTGAGGCCTTGTTAAAATCAGCTGGCACTGGTGCCAAGCCCAGTAGCAGTTCAGCTCTGGAGGCAAGGGAGGGGAAGGCTTAAGTTAACAGTCACAAAGAATAGTAAGTTAACAGGAGGTCATAGAGTCATAGAGATGTACAGCACAGAATATCTGGGATATCTGGTTGGCAAGGGCAAGTTGGACCGAACGGTGCTGCACTTCCCATTGCTGCAACTCCTGGCACTGCACGCAGCTAAATAACAGCTAAGAAACTAAGCTCCATGTCAGGAATGACTGGAACCAAGTAAATTATCTACTTAATCCATTAAATTATCTCCTTTCTATTCCTTTAGCAAAAGATCAACATGGCAAAATATCTTTCTTTAAACTCATTTTATTAGTCTTATATGTCTTTTATTGAATAGAAACAATCTTTACAGCAGTATTAAACAGACAACTACTCTACAGGCACCCATTTTCATCATTCTGTACACATATCCAAATCTGCATTAAAATAATAAAACAGAATAAAATATGATCCTATCTTCCCACTCCCGCCCCTCTGTTCTTCTAACCTGTTCCATTATTTCTTACTAAAATCCTTATTTCCAAGCTCTCTCCCTAATTCCAAAGAAGCAGGTTTCACCTCACAAGCAATTTGGCTCTGTTAGTGTTTCCTCACTCATTCTCATTGTGAGAAGGATGGAAACAAACTTGGAAGCAGAAAATGTTAGGGAAAGGGAAGCAGATGGTGAGGGACAAGAACACAGAGGAGGCAGGGGGATGGAGACATTGGGAGAGAAATATAAATGTGCCACAAACCACAGAGGAAGACTTGCTGCATCTGTTGCTGCAAATGCAGCAAAACAATCAACCTGTTTACAAGTACGTAATTTACCAATTCTGTGACACCCCAACTGCACAGAAGAACTTTTTCTCCTTACATGCATCATAATGTGTCTAGAGTTTATATTGTATAATGCTATAACCTACAATTAATGTAGTGTTACAAAATTTCAAGTATTTTCCTGCAGTCAATAGGCAATGTTTTGTTTTTTACAAAGGTTTGTTAAATATTTGTTCATTTGAAACAGTAAAATAAGTCAGTCTAATAAAGTAGGAGATATTTTGTCAGTAGTTATAGTTTTACTAATTGATTCGCAACGTTATCCTATGTCTCTCACTGACTGAGCTGTTTGATCTGTCTTACAGAGGAGGTGCAGCAGCACTATACACAACTAAGGACAGGCGAGATGATCATTATTTTGGTTGTGCTCGTCATGTGGGCAGGTGGGTATTTGCTCTGCACCATTTTTCTTGGTATTTGATGATTTTTTTTGTTTAATCTGCCAAACAGAATGATGAGGGGAGAAGATGTTGCGATTTCATTTCAAATTGAAAAGAAGCATTTTTGCACATTTTGGGAGTTTTGCAAACAATGCTACAAAACCTCTTCATTCAGTAAGTTTTTATTGTCCAATTAAGAAAAAGTAATAGATTTCTGTATTTGAGATCAAATTAAAGGTCATACAATCACAATTTTATATCTGCAAAGTCTGAACTCCAACAATTAATAGGTCCTTTAGGCTTGGGCTAGTTACACCATTTACTATTCGATGGTGACATGATTCTACTGTTAACCCTTTCTTGTACCTTCTTGACTATATGGCAATTGGCCACATTTCCCACTTCATTCCTATTCCCACCTCTGTGGCAAAATCATCTATTCCATCTTCACCTTTAAGTTTCACTTCTGAAGTGTTCTCCTGGTCAGTCCCCCATGATGCAATTTACCTTCAAATTTGTCCAGAACTTTAAATTCTGTTGCCTGTGTCTCATGCTGTTCCCCATCAATCCCTTTTTCATCAGCCTTCAGAAATCTCAAACAAGCTGAATTCAGAATTCTCAACCTCTTTAATAAATCATTCTACCATCTCCCCATGCTTTACATCTGCAAGCTACTCTATACCACTAGACCAACATATTCCAACAACTGGTATTCTGTTTAATGTTGTTTCCTCTTTCTACATTTTCAAAAACTTCTCAATATCTACATCATTGCATTCCCTTTCCACCTTTAATTCATCTGCAGCTACAATCCATTCAGCCTCTTGGAAATGCATTGGGACATTTACATTACGGGTGAAAAATTATTGAGACAATGAATTGTTATCCATATGAAGTATACTTATTAAGAAATGTTGCTTTTCATCTGTCTGCCAGGTGTGATAGCACTATTTTGTAGGCAATATGATATCATCAAGGACAATGAACCTACCAATAATAAGGACAAAGCCAAGAGCTCTTCAGAGTACAGCACACCAGAGCACCCAACAGGAGGTCTACTACGCAGCAAGGTAGAATAACTATTATCTGACATACAAAAAAAGTCAAACTATGTCTAAACTCCACGATGTACACAGGAAGAGAAATCCTTTCAACAGCTGAATGAACAAGTAATATTTCTATATGTAGCAAAATAGTGAATTTCTAATTACTTGCATTTCTCAGGAATTCCCATTATTCCATATAAAATGAAGTAACATTTGTTTGAGTATTATTTAACTCTCTGACGTGCACAAATTGTTTTCTTTCTATTATATATTGGAACAGAAGAACACATTTTGTTATTATAGTACCAGCATGTACAGCTCCTCTCTGAAAGCACATCTCCCATTACTGGTTCCTCACTCTCCAGATTACCCTTCTCTTGTTTAGGCCAGAATTACATCAACTGCAATTCCTGCACCATCGGTTCCACAGAAAGATTCTTTCTAAATCAATATCCTGCCGTTTCCCCTTCCTGCAGTTGGATGGAAAGGGAATGTAAAGGGAGAATAATTGGGTTAGTTGCCCTCAAGAAATGCTCAGCCCCTTCTCATCACCTTGAAAATTAACTGCAGATTGAGAAGCTCCATTGGGACTTCCTCAACTTGCCAGCAATTAAGCGCCTCAAGGAGTCAATTAATGGAAATTTAAAGGCCTCAAAAAACCACTGCACTAAATAATTTTCTGTCAGCAAACAAGAAAAGTGGCTGTTTTTGTGACTGGGTAACAAGGGTGTTTTGCCTGCCAGCTTGAAGTTGGGAAGCTTCTGTTTTCTTCAGTCTGGGGGCTTTCAGAGGCATATATTGGGGGCAAGAGGATGACATCTAACAACTACTCATCTATGCATTTCATGCTTCAGACCTGCTTGTGATCCCTCCACACAGAGCCCTACTCTTTTCTTCTTGATGCTGGATCCCCACAAGCTGCAGGCCTCTGATTGGCCAGTATGTGGCAAGGTGGCATGCCAATGTGGAGGCCTGGGATGGGCTTGAGTTAGCTTCTAACAAATTGGTTGGCTCACAAACTGGAAAGTTTTCTTGGTGGTGTGGGTGGTGAATCATTCTCCACCAAACACATCCACCCACACTTTGCCTGTGATTCTCTGTCATTTCTTAGTTCTCTTTATTGCAAAGCCTGGAGACCTGGGGAAGAATTCTAAATGAGGCAAACCCAGTATCTTCCCCTTAATATTGCAAACTGCTGCATTTGGCTGGATCATTAATCACTTTACCATCACACATACCTAATGAAAATGCCTCGAGGATGACAATAAGTTATATAATGGTTCACACTGTTTTCCATAATGCAATCAATGAAACTCTCCATGGCACTTAATGAATAACATGAAGGCAGATGAACTTCAATAAAATCTTGAATAGAATTATAAAAGAAAGGCTGATCCTATTTAGAACAACTTGGAGTATCTCTGAATGTAAAGTCAATTTCCCTTGGCCAATGCATCCAGAACAAGGACTCAGTCTCAGGATACCCTATTGGCCATTTCAAACTGAGATGGGGAGAAATGTCAGCACTCAGAGGGAAGTAAACCTGAGGAATTCTCTACCACATAAGACTCCAGGGACAAAGTCACTGAATATATTTAAAGAAAGAAATAGATGTTGAGATGGAGGATCAGCCATGATCATGTTGAATGGCAGAGTGGACTCAAAAGATTGAATAGCTTACATCTGCTCCAATTTCTTATGTTTCTTTTTCACTCTGATTTCTCCATTGTTGCGCTCCTACGCACAACACTCCCCTACCCCTACATGAGCTGCATCCTTCACACTGCTCAGTATCCCATCTCCATGAAGGCTCCATTGAATTTATTTCCACTGTGTTACTCACCATCTGGTCCTGTGTCCCACTTGCAAACAGCTTCTGAACAGCCAATTTTCCCTTCTTAACCATACACCTGTCGTAATCTCCCTTTTTGTCACTTCTTTTGAAAGCCTTTATTCGCTAGCCTCAAAAATCAACATGCAGGGCCAAATTTCCCATCCTTTGCTGAATTGGGCCTTGCTTTCATCCCAGTTCAATTTCTACCATCCAAAAAGATGTGCCACTGATTCTGCGGTTATATCCAATTTTGGGGTCATTTAAGTATTTTTGCTGGGCTTGCTGGCCTGAACCAAATAAAAGAGTAAAGATTTGCTGTTTCAAGCCTGCTCCTGCCTGACGTCTCCAAGCTACTGGTAAAAATGGAGAAATAGTATTTGTAATTCCGAGCCACTCTCATTGCAATGTGATTGCTGTGTAAGCTTCCTGTGTTTTAGCAATGCGTCACTTGACCTCCATGAAAAAGCTGCAAGGTTTGAAGTATGTATTCAAATTTTTGGTTTTGTCTGGGAAATGTGTTAGATTCATCAAACCAAACTGTAGAAAGAGTGAGCTGTCAGCCACCCTAGCCATTTTTTTTTGTATATCAGTGATGAATTGCAAGGCAAGATCGGGGATGGCATTGCCTAAGACAATATATTTTGTAATCAGGGATTGGTAATGTTGACGGAGAATCAGTAGTTGTTTAAAAAGATCATCTAACATTTTCTGTAGAATGGGTTTTGTCATTCAATGCTTTCTATCATTCAATGCTTACCATCAGATCGCATTTACCTAACACAACTCCATTTCTGAAGAAGGGTCCTAACCTGAAATGTCAACTTTCCTGCTCCTCTGATGCTGCCTGGCCTGCTGTGCTCCTCTAGCTCCATAATGTGTTACCTCTGACTCCAGCATCTGCAGTTCTTACTATCTCCGAGTCAGTTATTACCTAGCTGTGTGCCCATGACGCTTTTTTTTCTGATAGATCAACTTGATATAAAATTATTATAAAATCATAGAATTATACAGCACAGGAGGAGTACATTTGATCCATTGTGAACTATGAAAGTGGTCTCACTTCCGTGCTCTTTCCCCATAGCGCCTCAATAATTTCCCCTTCAAGATTTCATCCAATTCTCTTTTTGAAGTCATACCTTTAATGTGTTTTTTTTTACCGATTCTTCCTCGGAATGTGAATGTCGCTGACGTTTATTAACCTTGCAGCCAGTGCATTCTATATGAGAACTATTCATTGCATAAAGCATTTTCCCTGCCCGTCCAGGTTCTCTTGTCAATTACCTTAAAATGTTTTTAATATCACTCACAAGTACATTTATACCTATTATAGATGTATTTACAAACAACTTGGTATCTGTTTGAGTGAAGCCTAGTTCTAATTACTTAACACTAGTTGCTGACAGTTCTGTACCTCAGAAACAAAAGTTGACACCATGCTGGTTTAATTTTCCCCCATGCAGTTGAGTTTCTATCTCAACTGCATCACTGCACACAGGTTATGTACCTCTCCACAAGCATTAATGAAAGGATAATTAGGGAGACAGCTATTAATAGCTTGGACTGCTGCACTTCCTAGCAGCCTGTTTCAGAGCAGCATCCAGCAAGACCTTGAAATAAATTTCTCCTGCCCTTTCCACTATAATCACATTGATTAGGGAGTGACTGAGAAGATTTAATAACCTGCAGAAAGCCTAACTTCAGGCTGGCTTTTAAAGATGGTGAATGAACTGTACAGAACTGTAAAAGGGCAGCTCCAACTGTTTGGTCTGTACTTAAGTTAAATAATAGTACTCCTGACCTTTACTGTGCAGGAGATGAGAGCATTGCAAACGTAAGGATTTAAATAGCCACATTTCAGTGCCGCAATATATAAAGATCATGACTTCGAAATTGGATTATATTACATTTAATTTCAGGCAGAAAATGGTAACTAGTTCCTAGGTCCATATCTTTATGCTGCTGCCTCTTGAAGGTTAGGAAATTATGCTTCAAGTGTTGTTCTTTCAATTTGCCTTCAATTTAGGTACAAATGTAATGGGATAGAATTTTATAGACACCCATCAACTCCCAGGGAGAAGAGCAGTACCACTAAAGTCACATGTCATGGTGATCCCAGGCCCATTGCCAACCTACTCCCTTTGTACTTTACCAACAGCAGGGGAGGCATTGGGTGTTTCACCTGCCCTTGAGCCACCTGGGGCTCTTGTGGCCAGTTAGTGACTTTTAACTGCATTACTTCCATTGCACTAGTATTTACTAACAGTTAGGATGGATGCTCCTCAGCCATACTGTGCCCAGCTGAGGCTCTGTGAATGTTATTTTCACGGCACATGGTTTATTATCATTGAAAATATACATGTAATTCTACGAAGCCCACCTTTCCCTTTAATTTCCTGAGTAACCTTACAGTTCTTAAACTACTATGTTCTCACACCAGTTTAAAATCTGTTTTGGAAGTGCAATATGGCAAGGAAGTTTATACTACCCCAGTTACAGCTGGCCAAATGGAGGATGAGGCTGTTCTCTCTCTCCCAAGCCTCCTGCTTCTTGCACTGACATTGTCTCTAGAGTGTCCACCCCTTTGATTAGAGTGGCCTCTTTAAATACAGTTCTCCAGGTCATCCCCAAGTACAGTGGCTTAGTATTGCATACTATGTCAGCATGATAACCGACATGCAGATTCCTCCTGTGTAATTACAGCAGTTTGATACGGCAATGGAATTCTCAAAATTCAGTTACTCCATGTGAATAAGTTTCTGTCCCAGCAAAAGGAGCTACAAAAGGCAAGTTCGAACCGGTAGCTCTCTCTCTCTCCATGGATGCTGCCTGACCCACAGTGATCGCCAGCATTTGTTGTTTTCAGTACAAAAGGCAGTCTTGGATATTGTAATTTCCTTATTGACTGAGCCAACCCTAGGATCCGGGCTGTCTGGAAAAACAGTTCTACCAAAACTCTGATCTGCTGTTCCATATGAAACCTTGCAGCATTATCTCACCAACACCTATTCAATATAGTCACTCGAGGTAAATGGCTTGAATATCTGCCTGGCCTGATCCAAATTGACAGAGAATAATTGTGCAAACTAGAACATTCTCCAGAATGTTTTTGTTAGTAACTGAATGAAAATTGCTCTGCATTGAAGCCTTTAGTCAGATAATGATACTGGATCACCATAGAAAGTTCTTTATCCTGTCCAAA